CATCCCGATTATGTTTCTAGGTTTGTCAGCACCATACCCGTGCTCGTGGGTTTCACCGAAGTGGTAAACATCTGAGACCTGCATCACTTCGGGCTTTCCTCCCATATTAAGCTGACACGCCGTGATATAACTGTAATAATGTTAAAAGCGGCGTTAAACTCACACACTCACTCACTCTTAATAGCCAGGATAGCAACAGAAATGTTGGGGATCATGAATATTTGGGGGTATTTTTGCAGTGAAGATTGAACACACAGTTTCATAGAAATATCCTAATAATATTCATGATCACTAACTTGGTTTTCTTCAGTATATAGGGTTGTAAAACAAATGTGAGAAACTGTCTTGGACTTTTACGAAGTATTAATAATGTCCTGAGAATTCTCGGGTCACACATTTGTAAAACCTTGTTTGAATATTGAATGACGACATGCCTGTTTCATTTGTTATAGGCCCAGGGTAAATATTGGACATTAAACGTCATTTTACTCGTTTTCTTCTGAATATTGCAAACCATGTTCGGATGTGATGGCAGCTTAAAGGAAGCGAATGACATCTATTTTTTTATGATTGTCGATTCAAAATGGAAGTTCCGGCACAGAATACTCAAACAGACACATCCGAAAACACATATTGAAATGAAATGAAAGGTGTTATCTAATCACAATAGTAATACTTTTTATTAAATATGCACAACTGCCTTTAAAGGTCACACAGCGATCCTTGAAAAATAACATTCAGAGAAGCTGCTACAGTAATCACTAGTACGAAGTCTGGAGATGAAAAACAAATTGATCACTGGTCCTCTTGTGAAATGCCTAGGGATTTCCCCACGACCCCTAGCCACGTTGGTGACCAGTGTCCACTGTCACCGCTGGGGGGCCTCTGTCACACAGGGTGAACAATTAAGACTCTAAGTTGAACTGCTACAAAAGGACACAGAATTTAGCTAGGATAAAATCAATAACAACATTCCTTCAATGTAACATAGACAAATGGCCTTACTTGTTCAACAGTGAGAATCGGAAAGTTGATGTGACGTGTCGTGATGTATTATAATTTGTGCAGACGTTTCGTGAAGCATTGAACACTTTGTGATGAAAGCATGAAACTTGGTCAGTGTTGCAGGTTATGATATTCCAAATATTTTCAGATATGGGGCCACCCAAAAAATCCAATATGGCCGCCATAGAGGAAAGATATTCTAGTATATTTCCTTGTATGAACATGACCCACAACCTAAATATAGTATGGTAAATGAACATTTTGGAATGTATTTACCCAACACTACACCCGTAAAGTAAATCATTATAATTTAGTATTCAACATTCACAACTGGTTTTTATTATCTAAAATATCCTGTTGATAGTGATGAATCACAGAAGTGGAAATTCTTTTCATAAAGAAAACACCGATGTATAGTTGTTTAACGCCGCACTCAGCAATATTCCAGCTATATGACGGCCATAAAGAAAACAAGAGAATGTCATGTTTTAGTCTGTGGCAATTATCACAAGTCTTACACTCTCATGAAATGTGTGACAAATTGGGTATGATCGAGTGGAATCCATTTTACCACTTGGGTAGCAAGCATTGGATACTGAGAGAGATCAATCGTGGTATTTATGATCTTAAGGTATCTGTAAATGTTTGGACGTAGTGCTCGGACAAGGAGAAGGCAAGGCTTGATACAGGTGTTCGCTTTGGCAATAAGCTCGTCGTTTCTACAAGAAAGATCAATCCGGATGAAGGAAAGATGAAGAGGTTGGTGGAACGATATTGTTTTAAAAACATTTGATGAAGATCAAAGGCTTGCAATTTTCAGGATGTCCCAAGCCGTGTTCCAAGTCATCTGCCTACATTAGGTCTTCAGCAACACATGCTTGCCGTAAAAGGTGACTATGCTTGTCGTAAAAGGCGACTAACGGGATCAGGAGGTCAGGCTCGCTGACTTGGTTGATGCATGTCATCGCGGATCGATGCTCATGATGTCAATCACTGGATTGTCTGGTCCAGACTTGATTATTTACAGACCGCCGTCATATAGCTGGAATATTGCTGAGCGCGCCGTTAAACAACAAACAAACAAACAAATAAAGCCTACATTTGGAGCCACATTTGCGCTGTTCATCAGACGTTAAAGAACCCTTGACCACTGAACATCTCGTTGCAGCAGTTGGCCACAATAATAGAATACCGAACTATCGGTAGGTTGTTTGGAATAGCCAGGCCAGCTGTGTGTCTGTGTCCACGACGTCTGCAAAGTCATATATCAGAGGATGCTCAGTGAACTGGTCAGATGTCCACGTAGGAAGGCCTTGAGGGATGGTATTGGTGGATGTAAAGACAATTGGACGTTCCGAACTATGCAGGAGCAAAAGATGCTCCATATGTCCCCAGTATTGCTTCCAACTATTGCAGGGGGCACGGGTGGCCCAGTCGTCTAAGGTGCCTCGATTCGCTGGGCAGAGTTGCGTCCCTTGGGCATGCCAGAAACCTATGATTGTGGGTTCGAATCTCGGTTCGCCCCGATTATGTTTCTAGGTTTGTCAGCACCATACCCGTGCTCGTGGGTTTCACCGAAGTGGTAAACATCTGAGACCTGCATCACTTCGGGCTCTCCTACCACATTGAGCTGAGACGCTGTGATATAACTGAAATACTGTTAACAGCGGCGTTAAACCCAACTCACTCACTCCAACTATTGCCAAAGTGACTTTGTGAACAGAAAAGGCTGCTACCCCATCATTACGCAGGATGTGTCTGATGATAAATACTGATTCATAGCCTGTGCATTGTCCCCCTAGCTCCCGAAACCATTCGCCGATAGAGGACTGCTTACAACAGAACAGTCGTACTTCAATTACGTCTAAACAGTGCCCGTATGACGATTGGGAACACATTCGGAAGGTTCAAAGGGGCGTTTCCTCAAGAGGGTTGACGTTGATGTCAATTTCGTATCAACCATTCTGGCTGCAACTGTCGCTCTACATTACCTGTGTGAACACCACACTGGCATGCAGCAGTCCACGATGTACACCCAGTCTGACCAGAAACCACAGACAACGTAGGGTTCCTATATGCAAGTGGCACCGACATCAGAGGTACAAAGACCCTTCAGTTTTGCAGGGACCCCAACTGAAGGAGAACATAGACAGCACATGGACGATTTTATTGAAATTTAATCTGAAATGACATGTTGTGTGCTTTGACAACACCAATGTAACCATGAACGAATCCCCCTTAGCGAAGAATTTATATTTGTCAATAATCACGGATGTTGCAAGACAGTGAATTTGGTAGGGCAAATGTCGAAATGCGACGAGTGGGAGTTGTTTATTGTACAATAAAACACTGCAGGGGGGAATAAACCATGAGGGGCAGAGTTCCGAGTGGTTTATTCTTCTTGCAGTGTTGTATTTTAAGTACATTTTATGAACAGGGGCTTAAATATTGTCTTTCCCGCATATTCTCACCATTTTCATGTCGATTATCTGTACCATTTCTCCCAAAACCGATTGTCATATCTCTCCCACTTTTGGAAGCGATCGTTCGGCCATTGCGTTTATCTATGTTGCCCAACTACATCTATGGGGAACAACTTACTGGACACTTCCCTCTCAAAAATAACGTCGTCCAATATACGAACAATCTGTCTCACATGCTGTCAGTCGTTCCAGATGTAGTAGATTATTATCATGATCATACTGTCAATATTTTCTGAACAAAAAGTACCTACATCCTTATTATTTCTAAAACTGTATTTCATTCTGTTGATCAATGTGACCATACGCCCTTATACTATCAATAAAAGTGACAAATGCGCTTACGAATGGCACAGCATAGGTCGCGAACTAGTCTAGATATCTGCTCTATCACCACGGGGGAAAAACAAAGGCAACAACCAGTCCCGGGGAATTGCTCTAGATCAGTGCCCCTTTAACATTTCCTAATTGAGTAAAAGACCTTGACATTTAATCAAATTGACCTTGAATTTTGATATGAATGCATTGGGTACCCATCACCAGTGTCACTAGAACAGATTTGTTTCTGTTCTTATTCTCTGGTGACCAGGTTTGCCTTATAACGGCAAGATCCTATCAGAAGAGTGAGTGAGTGAGTATGGTTTTATGCCGATTTTAGCAATATTCCAGCAATATCATGGCGGGGGACACCAGAAATGGGCTTCACACATTGTACCCATGTCGGGAAACAAACCCGGGTCTTTGGCGTGACGAGCCAACGCCTATCGGAAGAAATCTGTGATCTAAATAATATATAGCCTGAAATAATCTACTCCGGACCAGGGTAACCAGTGGTTGACAGCATGACAGACAATCAACCAAGTCACAGACCCTCACGCCTCTATTACCCCTTTAGTTCGTGTCTACCACAATATCCATGTACTGGGGACTGAATCGGACACAAATTCTGGGTGCTTATCAAAGTATATATGAATTCAAAATATAAGGCACTGAAAAGAACCTGTTAAATAGGTTTGTTTATGTTAATCCCTTAGAAGTATTAGATTTACTACTCGTGAAAATGGATTGGCAGAATGGAGAAATGCAGAACTATTGACTGTCTCTTTCTTCTAGAGATGACTATATTTCTGACTTCACATCAACAATCAACACAGGCAGAATTGGGCAATACAGTTGGTTTAGTCATAGTTGAGTACAGAAAACAAATAAATCTTGATGCGAAGAGAGTTTCAAAATTACAAAGGAACCACACTTTGTGGAACCAACCCCTGGGCATTCAGCTTATGAAATTATTTATATCCCATGTTGTTGCAAAGTAAACACCATTGCAAAGGTGTAGCATAACAATATTTACATATGCATCTCACAATATTGAAATTCCACTTCACATGTGAATAGAAATTGTGAAGCTATTCTTCAACCATATGATTGCCATTGGTTAAGTAGGTGTTGGGGCTATCTTACTCATGGTCTATCTGGCTTATACAATAAAACCAATGATAACATGAAATGGGATGAAACAAAAATTTTATTCCTGATCTTTTTTTTTACAAAAATATCTTACCATGTCATATAAGACAAAAACATTCAAAGTTTACACATCCTGACTATGTACACAACTAGGTACTCACATATATTCCAATCATCTGGTACACTAGCAGACTGGACATGGTAGAAACTACATCGAGGTCAACAGGTCAAGGTCATCAATTACCATAAAGGGAGACAACTCACATAAGTAAATTTTAGTTCTTTGTAAATCTTTGTGTGCAAAGACATTTGAGGCAATCATTTAGGAAAGGAATTTATGAAGTAGATATGATTTGAAGATAGGAGCAAACATGTTGGATTATCTCCCTTTAATAGCATGAAGGCATACAAGTTCAGATTGTGTTTCACCTCTTGTCACAAATCATAATCCAGGCAAACAGTTTACCTTTGAAAGAAATTTAAAGCACAAATGCATTCTGCTGCTTTGAAAACAATGCTGATACACAAGTCTGAATTTGTAGTGCCAAGAAAAATCAAAACCTCACACAAGTGGAACTGTGTACTAAGAAAGTATTTACAAGATGAAAAAGTAGATTAGAATGCAAACATGACCTTGATAACCCTGAGGCCAAGGTCAAAAATGACCTCAAATGACCAGGTGGAATCGCTCACTGATATGACATCCTTACAAGGGCATGTAATCACAAGTACATATGCTCAATCAGGGCAAATAACAAACATGGCAGACATATTCGCCACACATAGACTGCCATCCCATAATATTCAGTCCTGTCTCTATAGTCAGTCATGAGTACATGTGAATTTGTACCACAGGGTGAAAATTTCAAGAATTCAACAAACATTTACAATGCATAGTTATCAAATAAACTGACTACACTTATTCTATCATAAAGTCATTTAAGCATGCAAAGACAAAGTTTGTAGGATTTTGTTGAAGGATGTTCAAAGATGAGATGATGAATATTCGTTACTGTGAACATAAATATTCAACAATGACTAAGACCCCCATGAGTAGAAACTTACAGCTGATGTCAACAAGTTGAAAAAGTCTCACAATATCATCTTCCTGAGGCAAGGGAGTTAAGTGACTGTAAAAGTCCGGTTTCCAGCCTTGCCGAACTAGGCTGGAATTTCTGGGCTCAATCATAGCACCACCAGTGGCTATTATGTGTTATATCCCTTGTTTGTCCCACCTATTGACCAATCAGATTCCTCCTTCATATCACTTGCATTTGCTTCAAATAAAATGGTGTCACTCAGTGAAGATGATCTGATCGATAGTCAAGATCTCTATTGTAATAAAACAGGTCTAAGTTCGCGAAGTGCATCATATCACATGAGCACCTTGATTAAAATGAAAACATTTGGAAAATATCTGTTCATGCTATGTTGTCAGTCAAATGCTGTGCACATCCTGCAATCGACTGAAATCTGCATGGCAGTTTACGAACCGGATGTCAATTTCATTACGAGATTTTGATTGGACTATTCATGGGCTCCTTAGTCCAGCCAGAATATAACTCCATAATTCCAGCATAGTTTGACAAGGGTTGAAACTGGACTTTTATAGTCAGTTAACTCCCTTGCCTCGGGAAGATGCACAATATTATCACTTGTTATGTGAGACTATCCTCCAAACATATCTCATCGAACATTCCAGTACGACTAAGACCTATTAAAGATGTAGCATCAATTTGTAATGTTCATTGGGGTCAATGTGAAAAACATATTTTCTGAAGATCCAGCAGTAGTCTTTAGAGCTTTGCAAAAGATTACAAGTTAGAGAAATCAACATGACCTAATTTGTATTGTTTGAGTAAAAAGAAAATCATGGCAATCAATTATCAATGTATACTGATAAAAAGAACTAAGGGTCCTCATATGAAAGGAATCAGACGGTTTGAAAATTCTGGTTTCATCATTGATTTTCTGTGATCCTTTCATATAATTTTCACCGCTTCTTTGCCTTTTACTCCCAATTGAATCTGTTTTATAAAAATCGAGACTGGTTATTCTCTGGCATTTTCTACATACCACAGAGGATACCTTGTGTAACTATGCATCTGAAAATGATATGACACTGAGTGACATATTTTAATAATATAACGCTTTTTGCAAACAAACCTGAAACATTAATTATCAATACTTCTATATGTGTTCCTTATTTTCTTTCCATCAGTATATTTCCTTTTTTAAAAAACTGAAATCACGAAAAAAGTGAAAAAGCATGAATTTGATATGAATTCCTTCTTGATTTCCTGACACATCTGCATTGTTAGACCTACAGTGTCAAGAAGTCAATCCTTATACACAACAAACACGGACACTGATAAAAATCTGAAATTCTGTGACATTCTCAAACAAAGTGGTGTGACTGACTACATTGGACAGTGCGGACTGATGTAAGGCAAGATGATCTCTGTTAACAATATGTACAGCTGTATCCCACAGACAGTGGGTCTATTGCTAGACGATTGGGAGAGGCCTGCAGCCCATACAACACACATACTCTCTCAGAAGAGGCCTGGCCTACACTTATTGTTTTAATAACATGTACTCATGAAAATTATTCATATTACTAATACTTTGTAATATGGGGAATATTGCTCTGAAAATTATCACTTCAAATAGTTTTGTATGAAAGAAACTAAAAACACTAACGTTTGATTTTTATCACTTTGTATCTGATGTAAACTCTAGATATGGGGTGGTTACAAAACTGAAGCAGGTATCACCATTTGCAAAGTCTACTACTACCCTATTAGGACAGAGGTAAATAATGTGTTTTGTTATCTACCAGATCCTAGAAACTTGAAATAAGGAGAAACAGCTTTACTGCAGGCTTCATACTGGCATCTATCACTCTTCTTCACAAATGAAGGACAATAAATATTTTGATTTAAATCCAAGAAATCTTTTATATATACACATAAATTATAATCTGCATATCATCTTCTGTTCTACCATGATTCTAGTTCACATGGACCTAATACCACTAGGACTAAAGCACATGCTACAACCAGGACCTTCTATGATGGACCGTCTACCACATGGACCTTCTATGATGGACCGTTTACCACAAGGACCTTCTATGATGGACCATCTACAGCAAGGACCTGCTACAACCAGGACCTTCTATGATGGACCGTCTACCACAAGGACCTGCTACAACCAAGACCTTCTATGATGGACCGTCTACCACAAGGACCTGCAACAACCAAGACCTTCTATGATGGACCTTCTACCACAAGGACCTGCAACAACCAAGACCTTCTATGATGGACCATCTACCACAAGGACCTGCAACAACCAAGACCTTCTATGATGGACTGTCTACCACAAGGACCTGCTTCAACCAAGACCTTCTATGATGGACCTCCTACCACAAGGACCTGCAACAACCAAGACCTTCTATGATGGACCATCTACCACAAGGACCTGCAACAACCAAGACCTTCTATGATGGACTGTCTACCACAAGGACCTGCTTCAACCAAGACCTTCTATGATGGACTGTCTACCACAAGGACCTGCAACAACCAAGACCTTCTATGATGGACCGTCTACCACAAGGACCTGCTACAACCAGGACTGTCTACAATGGGACTATCTACCACAAGGACCTGCTATCACAGGGCCTTCAAGCATCAGGCTTTGTAACAATAAGGACAAATGGTTTGATAGGCATTACATAGAAGTTGACCGATGACAAGGTAGACACAATTTTATGGAAGTCTTGCTTGACAATGGTATAAGGATCTATACCAAAAACTTCGCTTTTTACAGTATTAAAGATGTTGTTATCCATAAAATTGTATCTACCTTAACAATAAGGACCTTCTACAAGAAGGACTTTCTACCAAGAGGCTATGCAACAAAGAGGACCTACCAGAAGGACCTTTCAGTCCTAGGAACGTCAACCACCAGATCTTCTGTCATCATGACCTGTAACCACCAGGCCTTGCAACAATCAGGACCTGATACAAAATACTAGAGGTCCAGTCCTTAATACATAACCATAATCTCTCACATGTGAGTCCATTTATCAGTTGGATCCATTTCAAGAACAAAGAAATAAAGCATATGCTGCACAATATTTGGGTTAAACATATATGCCAGAGAGGCACATGTATTCTTGTATTCAACAATATTACTACATATTCAAGTGTTAAAATGTCTAGTATGTCATCTCAAGGTTCTTGCAACATTCACTGTAACATTTTTAATGAAGACAATCTCCTTCATACCTTTCTCAATGTATCAACTTTGGCTTATGGTGTTGTCCTGTAAAATGCCATACCAAATACATGCTTCCTTTAGAAAATTATTGAATTAGAATATCTTGATCCAGCTCTAACCCATATTTTACAGATTCTAGACACCTCTGAATAACTATCTGACCACATATGAGAGATGATGGTTTAATATGCATTTCCCTAAATCCTGAGATCACTCTTTATTAATCTTTTGGTATATGACCCCTTTCCAAAACCAACGTGGTGATAAAAATAAAACAAAATTTCATAAACACTTCTTAAAGAGTTTCCTTGTTTGGGAGAATAAAAGAAACAGGAGAAATAGGACCAAAAAAAATGTACTTTCATTTCCTTATTGACCAACTTAAAAAAGAAGAATGTATTTCATTCCACATTTGTGAAATTTAGCACATCTGTAAACTAAGCAAAACAATAAATACCTTAGAAACATGTATTATTTACATCAAGTTCTATCAGTATTTATAAAGTACTTCACTCATCATACTTGTCAGGGTGCAGTCGGGTAGCATAGTGGTTAAAGCGTTCGCTCGTCATGCCGAAGACCTGGGTTTGATTCCTGACATGGGTACAATGTGTGAAGCCCATTTCTGGTGTCCCCTGCCGTGATATTGCTGGAATATTGCTAAAAGCGACGTAAAACCATACTCACTCACTCATACACGTCAAGACAAGTTGGATGAAATACATCTACATCATACATCACCAAGCCTCTGGATACCTGTAACAATATCCTACCTTAAAAGGGACTACAGCAAGTGTATAGCCAGTTTCCACTGTTGTCTAGCCTCTGATCATTAACATACAACTGCCCGTCAATACACACACCTCCTATAGTTCACATGGTTCTCTGTACATATACACCCCGGGAAAAGAAAGTACCCTCAATTTTTAACTTAATTATCTTCCAAAACTGGCTTTTATAGGAGATATTGCTGATATAGATATAGGAGTGAGTGAGTTGGGTTTAACACCGCTTTTAACAGTATTCCAGTTATATCACAGCGTGTCAGCTTAATGTGAGAGGAAAGCCCGAAGTGATGCAGGTCTCAGACGTTTACCGCTTCGGTGAAACCCACGAGCACGGTTATGGTGCTGACAAACCTAGAAACATAATTGGGGCGAACCGAGATTCGAACCCACAATCATAGGTTTCTGGCGTGCCCAAGGGGCGCAACTCTGCACAACGAATCACGGTGCCTTAGACGACTGGGCCACCTGTGCCCCCGATATAGATATAGGAGATAAAGGAGATTGTGATATCAGGAGATATCTCCTTGGAGATATTGCTACAATCAAATCACATCACAATGCTTTGGAAACCATTGTGATGTCATCAGTTACCATGACATCACAATCAAATGACACTGACCTCTGACACTGAAGCTTTACTTTTTATACTCAAGACATTAAATATTAAATACATGACACTTATCATTGATAGCAAAAATTTGTATTCTTTGTTGAGACGTTTCAGAGCTATTCCGTGCTCTTTCCTCACCATTCACGTGATGAAGGAGCCAGAAGTAGCTCTGAAACATCGTGATAAAGAAAAACGAGTTGCTATCCATAAAAAGTGTCATGCATTCATGTTCATCCAACTTCTATATGCCTATCAAAGACCACATTGATTATTCCTGTTAAAAACAGAGAAAGTTGGCAGAAGGATTTTGGATGATAAATAGGATCTCCCCGAATTATTGATGAATGTAAAAATACCCTTGGCCATGTTGGCAAGCCTAAAATATTTGTATCTTTTATCAACTCGCCTTGATATATCTGATCGCAGAAGACACTCGGGTGAGATTCTCAATACATCCCAATCTTCCATGTATATTTGGGAAATATGTACATATGTGAGATCTCATTTTGAGTAATGTCGAACACGCCACTGATGCCTGCTGAAACGTTATACGAGAACACTGCATGTTTCTCCAAATGGTCGCAAGTATCATGTCATGCATACCATGCAAAGAAGATGAGGATGCAGCTGAAAGGGTAGACCATGAACTATTGCCATGGGGCAGCTACAAATCATGCCATTCAACTTCCTTTTCTATATTTTAATTTCAGTATGTTGCTTTGTAAACAAAAACAATGCCGGTAGGGAAGGGCATGCTTAGCCGTTTTTGTAAACACCGGGTGTCATCACAGATTTTCAATGATCCATTCATCTAATTTTCACCGCTATTTGGCTTTTTTATGCCTGGTGGAGTTGAGATAATCAAGACTGGTTATTTTCTGGCATTGACATTTTACATTTACATCAAAGAATAAATACAGGGTATGATTTAAAAAATGTCAATTTTATATGGAAATATATTTTAAGGGGCACATAACTTAATCCCAGGTGTATCTTTTTTTAATAAATGACACCACTAATTCAAATCTAAAATAATGTAATCATAATAACAATCTAAGATAAATATGTCTGAAGATAATTCATAGTCAATTCAAACACACTGTATAATTTTTTTAAAGCAATGTACCATGTGGTGTACAGTATCACTCAATCACAAAGTTTAATTATTGGAAATTTACAAAATAAACAATGATGCCAACAAAAAGATTTTTGCTTGATGGATAAATCTCCTGTAACTTTTGAAAGCTTAAAAAAAACAAGAAGCACACAAAATACCTTGTTTAATGGAAAAAACCTGATAAGGAATATAATTTTGTTTCTTCATAATAAAGCTTGATTTGACAAAGTGACTTTACCTTCATTTTTGTCTCCTGTTTCTTTACATATTTACAAGACAATGCATAATAAAAAAGAAAAGAAAAAGAATTGATCAGGCCTCAAGAAAAATTTTCCTTTGTTTCGTATCAGCAGATGCATACATGAAAGTAGCTTTTCTCCTCTCACAACTGCTGAACAGAAGTAATATTAGTAGCCCTACTCATTCAAGGGAAAAAGCATGATAAAACACATTATTTTTTTATTTTTCTGTTTTTGGGCAAACAAAATATGAATTCATGGAATATAGATACCTCCGTAGACTTTTGCAAAGAAAAACAAAATGTCAGGTAATGGAATGAACAAAATAAACAATAACAATGCTACTAATATGAAAACTATGTATACTGACTTATTGTTGAAGATGTATTTATTGAATGAAAGGTACTTAAACCGACTTCCATCATACTATGTTTTATCCTAGACTAATAGTTTTCAATGTTACACTTCCAGTTGTAGTTTCTAAATTATGTGAAACTAGTTGATGTTTAATGTAACTCAACCATACAAGTGTCCTTTAGGAAAATAGTACTTTTCTGGTAAAACTCCAGAAACTACATTGCTAAAGGACACTGAAAGGTACATTTAAACTTTAACAACCGATTTATTCATACACAAAAGCCATTAACAGCTTAGTGTTTCAGAAAAATATATAAAAATATAAGAAGCCAAATCATTATGAATTGATATTCATATTTTGAGCATTTCATATTTTAGAAAAGTAAATTTCGTACTTGAAGTGGGATGATTTTTTGGAAAACCAGACAAATATTCATTAAGGTTGACACAGGCCAAAAAACATTCAAGTCATACTAAATACCATTTACTTTGGTGTATACAAGCATTATGCTTCCTGAAGACAATATTCTACCTATCTGAGTTTGGTAATATTATGATGTATTACACCTCTGAGAAATATAAATGTTTGTGAAACATTTTCATATTAGAGAATTATAAAATGAAGTAGATCTAGTTCTTGGTGGATCACCATGCAAAATATATATGTCATTTGTGCATGACCTAACTAACAATGTTCTCATCTAACATTCACACCATATTCTGATCTTTAAGGTGGAAAAGGTTTCAGGAAATTAGAATTTGGAAGATTTCTTAAAAGATTTACCACCAAGACCATGTGGCATACAAGATCTGTGGTTTCTTGGTCAGAACTGTGCAATCTTGTGTAATATAGATATTAAACAAGAGAAATGAATGAATTTGACCCCATTGTATGAGATCAGAAAATACCTAGAACAACATACATACACTTTATTTAAACATCTACCACGACTCTCCAGAACTTCTACCCATATTACTGTGGCAAGGATACCGGTATCTGGCTGCCTCTGCTAAGACGATGAGAATGTTTTCAAGTTTCTTGATTCTAAAGCATAAATTTCTATCATGTAACATTATTAGGCTGATACCTAAAACAGTATTACGTAAGACAGTATAGGCGGATCCAGAGGGGGGAGGGGGGTAGTGTGTGTGTGTGTGTGTGTGTGTGTGTGTGGGGGGGTGTTCCAGGGGTTCCAGACACCCCTTTTTGAAAACCAACTGTAGTATGAGGAAGAGAATTAATGGATGTCAACTTCTGTATTATGAGGAACAAATGTAGTATGTTGAAGGCAGTAGAATTGACAGAAAGAAGATTCTGATATTTTGGACCAATCCCCTTTTTAAATGCTGGATCCAACCTCGGAATGGGAACATTTGCTATTACCACATCACAACGTCTGTCAAACAAACTAAGAAATCTGCAAGGGAGACACTGTGTGTGGTGTTACTGCGTGACCCCATTTATAGGGGATGGGGCCAGAAATCTGTAATTTGCATACAGCTAAGAATATCAAGCACAAAAAAGCACATCATCTCCTCAGCTTGAAAACATTAAAGTAAATTCTGATCTATCAAGCTCTTTGGGGTTGCACCTGTTGCCACACACATGAAAACACATAATGAGTATTGGCCTCAACTATTCAACTCCTTTGTTAGAGATTACAAATATCAGCCTTAATAAGGATTTATAGATTTTTACACCACCAATCTTATCATATAATATTAATTTAAGATTAAGTGGCTTTGGTCTGCTGAAAGATCAAGAGATGATGTTTTTCATAAACCTTTATTATTTTCTGCCTTTATTGTTCTTAAGAAAGAAAATACACAATTTAACAAGGATAAGCATACTGAAGTATTAAAAAAATGCGAAATGAGCCTAATGCTCAGATATAGATAGGAAACTCAGACCAAATATCCGTAAAAAACTAAACACTACATTTACTTTTGTTTTATAGAATCTTTCCCAAAACCATATCCCTAACTTGGGTATAATTTTACAAACCAAAATGATCACCGGTCATCTTTTAATTCATTGGAAAGAGAGGCATTTCTATTAAATATAGCCTTCGTGAAGCTCTACTTCATTCAGTCTCCACATCCATCTTCTTTCAACACAACGTAAGCAAACATCATTAATTCTGTGTACATCATCTCGTGTAGGATTCTATATGTACTGGTATTAAACCCAATTAAATGTTCCTATTCCTCAAAACCATATACTGGAATATAAATGTTCATATACACCTATTCCAATGCTATATAAACACCAATATCCTGATATCATCTCTGGTGTATAAATGTCTGTATTCACCAAGATATCCACAGTGTATGTTCAATGTGAAGATGTCGTTTTGGAAGACCCACGCTCAATATACCGCAAGACAGTGTATCCAACATGGGGAAAATGAACCAGAAGATCATCCAGTATCCACTTTGTTCATTAACTGTGCTCCATTGTAGAGTTGGTTGGCATTCAATGGTCAGTTAAACAAATAAGCTGTCATTTGGCTTGTAAACATTTGCTGTCTGCTTCTTCTGAATGACGTCTGCTCCTCAACCAAGGGAGACAACTGTGTTAATGGTCCCGTTCTCCATGTTCAGCTTGGCTGATCAGGTTCTCTGAACTGGCCGTACGCCCTATCTCCTGCACAATTTCTGCATGTTCATTTAACAATTTCTGGAAATCCTTTTGTCGCTGTTCCGCATTCTCCTACAAATAAAACAACCAAATAGATATTATGACAATCAAGAATCAACCAAGACCAAAACATATCAGTATTTGACTTCAGCATCATTAATTCCAAAGACTGATCAAGCTTGAAAACTGCCAATACTATTATAATAAATCAAAATACAGTCAAATACGTTTATAATGAACACGCTTATAACGAAGTGACGTATATAACGAACTTTATTATTGGTCCCGGCCATTTGCTGTATAGATGTTGTATATATGCTTTTAACGAACTATGGTTATAACGAACTAAAATTAGTGGTCCATTTCGAGTTCGTTATAACTGTAGTTTACTGTAGATCATCTACCGGTATGGTTACCCTGTAGAGATCCTGGCACGGAACAGGTCCCATACCTGGCTACAGGTGTAACACAGTTGAATGGGAATACACATCAATTATCAGCAATACACAACCATAATCCCTTGTGGAGTTTCAGGGGCAGATTAGGTCCCCATGCTTATAGCAAGCGCTGATGAATATGTATACAGGGTGTTATAATGGATATCATCATATCGAGGACATGGAAGACTGCTCATGCTATCAATCACTGGTTTGCCTGGCTCAGAGACCCTTGAAGATTTGGTGAGAGAATAGGTCTTCAGCAACCCATGCTTGCCGTAACTGGCAACTATGCTTTTAAGAGGCGACTAACGTGATGGGTGGTCAGGCTCGCTGACTTGGTTGATAAATGTCATCGTGTCCCAATTGTGTGAATTGGTGCTCATGATGTCAATTACTGGACTGTCTGGTCCAGACTTCATTATTTACAGACCGCCATCATATAGCTGGAATATTGCTGAGTGCGGCGTGAAACAACAAACAAACAAACAAACATCCTGGCTCAGACTCACTTCTTTACAGGCTGTTGTTAGCATTATTAATTCCCTCACTCACTCATCTACAATTTTACCTTCAGTGTAGCTATCATGGCTTCTGACTGTTTAGTCTTGACGAGTTTGTCAGCTATTGATGCTTTCCTCACATTTCCTTTGGGCGACTCTGGAAACAAAACATCAGTCCTAGTTACAGAGTTGCTCCCCTTGCCTATCTCCATCACGAAGCAAGTCACCCACATTTTGGCAGCTGTTTCGGCAACCTTCTCAATACTTCTGGCAGTACTGGAGTAGTGATCTGTGATCTGTGATCTGATTTCAAAGTTACTTCTGTTTGAGTACCGTGTAAGTATTGTATGACATGGAGGCTGATTTTGAAAACATAAATTAGGCGTACACTCTGATTTGTAGATAAAAGCAAATAGAAGCACTCGCAACATGTATATCAGGCCATGCTACCAGTCATTGGGGTGTGCACTAAAACTAGATCCCATATGGATTCCACCCTTGATACTGCGAAGGCGGATGCAGGCAGATTGGTGTCCTGAAGCTCCAAGGTAGGTACCAGAGTTTGAAGTATACTGCTGTCCTATATACTCTCACTCTAGGTGTCCTATATCCTCTCACTCTACCTGTTCTATATATTCTAGGTCTTCCGTATACTCTAGGTGTTTTGTATACTCTCACTCTAGGTGTCCTATATACTCTCACTCTAGGTGTCCTATATCCTCTCACTCTACCTGTTCTATATATTCTATGTCTTCTGTATACTCTAGGTGTTCTATATATTCTAAGTCTTCCGTATACTCTAGGTGTTTTGTATACTCTCACTCTAGGTGTCCTATATACTCTCACTCTACCTGTTCTATATATTCTATGTCTTCTGTATACTCTAGGTGTTCTATATATACTAGGTCTTCCTTATACTCTAGGTGTTCTTTATATACTAGGTCTTCCGTATACTCTAGGTGTTCTATATATACTAGGTCTTCCGTATACTCTAGGTATTCTATATATACTAGGTCTTCTGTATACTCTAGGTGTTCTATATATACTAGGTCTTCTGTATACTCTAGGTGTTCTATATACTGTAAATCATGAAATTAATACGTCTCCAAAAGAAAGTGACCACTGGCCCCTAGCCAAAAATGTGACTCAATATGAATGCCACACCCCCTCCTCTCAAGCATCAGTGGATTTCTATCTAAAGAAAATGTCTTCCATATATTCTAGGTCTTCTGTATATTGTAGGTCTTCCGTATACTTTAGGCATTATATATATATATATATATATATATATATATATATATATATATATACTAGGTCTTCCGTATACTCAAGGTGTTCTATATATTGTAGGTCTTCCGTATACTCAAGGTGTTCTATATATTGTAGGTCTTCTGTATACTTTAGGCATTATATATAAATATACTAGGTCTTCCATATACTATAGGTGTTCTATATATTGTAGGTCTTCCGTATACTCTAGGTGTTCCATACATACTAGGTCTTCCGTATATTCTAGGTGTTCTATATGTTGTATGTCTTCCGTATACTCTAGGTGTTCCATACATACTAGGTCTTCCGTATACTCAAGGTGTTCTATATATTGTAGGTCTTCCGTATACTCTAGGTGTTCTATATGTTCTATGTCCTCACCACTCTCCGGCGGTTCAGCTGCTGCCTCCCCCTCCTCAACGTCATCAATCTCCACCTGGTCCGTCGTCCCGTCCTCCTTCTCCAGACCCACAGTGATGTCGGCGCCGCTGCTCGAACTCTTCAGTGTCCTGCCGACCAACAACTCATCCTGATACTCCTTCGTTTCAGCGCTGTCACAGCCGCCGCCTCTCTGGTAGCCGTCGTCCATGGTCCTGTCCTGTGCTGCTCTCTGAGAAGTGTGGTGAGGGTCCAGTTCCTCTGTGGCTGCTAGAGTGGAGGTGCGGTTGGTCTGATCGTCTTCACTTACAGGGATGTCTGCAGATATTGGCATGGAGATCTCCAGTTGTTGTGAGTCAGCTAACAATAGAAACAAGATATGTGTTAATATCTTCATATTGCTACAATGACGATCATATTCCTAGGTGTGATAAATTCATTAACACAGTTGGAGGTGTACATTGTTATTGTCATTTCCATAGAAACTAAAGAGGATTCACCAAAATATAATATCAAATGAACATAATCTGTAAATCTTGAAATTAACTCAAGCATGAATTGAATGCGAAAAATGCGAGTGATCTTCGTTTGCATTAATGAAACTTCGCATTTATGTCTCCAAAATGACTATCAACAATAAGACGGCCTCATTGCAGCATTACTAACTTGAATATATACAGAAATACTGTTTACTGAGCAACTTACTTACTTACTTACATTAGGAATTTAACGTGCGCTTTCCGACATATGCGTATTTTGCGCACGGGCCCACAAGGCCATTTGGTGTTTGACCGAAAAGGGTATGTCAGAAAAGGTGAGGCAACCCGGGTGGGGCTTTAAGGGCTGCTTACTTAATTTGAAGAACAAATTTGGAATTTTGAAATATGCCATGCAAAAGGTGTAACAAGTCCATAACAATGTCATTTAAAGAATAGGCATCTGGTGAGTTATCACAGCTGGGGTCATGAGTTCTACCCACTCGTGTCAAACTAGGCATCAATGACCACTTCAATCAGTGAACTGTTGTTGGTTCAATTATTTTATTGCCTTTGAACTTCCTTTCTGCCAGTCAACAGAATAAACATATAAACTGTGTGTTTGTTTTTAGGAAAACACTGTTTATTGTTATTAAGGAAGTGCTTTACTCAGTGCTAATAAGCGGTGATATTTTGGATTAAGGTAAGGATGTGTATCATTCCACTGGGGATGGGCTGGGGGAGTCGCATTGAGTCTCATTTTTGGCTAGGGGTCAGCAGTCATATAAATTTGAAGACGCATTAATTACAAGATTTACGGTAATTTGCAGAACAGTTTGATAATGTTAGAGAATTGCATAAAATTTGTATAAATGATAAAATGATAAAAATATATTATGAATTATAAGAAACGCTTGTTTTTAAGTTTCTTCTATTTTATACATTCAAATCATGATAAATACTATCCGACTTATCTAAAGAATATTTAAGAAATGTTTACATGGACAAATTCCATGTTAGATGCTACTGATATTTGATACTCAAGTTTCAGTGTTAAGACGATTCAATGCAATCTGTCTCACACTGGTTTAAATATCTCTGTTGGTGAAGCAATAGTGACTTTACTAAATATTCACCTGTACGCTACATCACGGGTAACCTTATATCAAAGAGATTGATCATATGAGTGACACCTGAGATTTACACCTGTCTCGTTACGACAGGTGAGTACATGTGTCAGTAGCAACACCTGTCTTCAACGCAACTCACTAAATCTGCCATCATGCTGTTTGCGTAGGTTGGAGGTTATTTAAAGAAAATAGTTCTATGTTAAGAAAGAAAAGTCTGCTTCAAAGAGCAAATCTCTTGTAGACCTGTCAGCGTAGAGATTTCGGTTGTCACTTATTCCTCACTCCTCTCATACAAATTCTTCCTATTAAGGACAATATTGTACCATAGCTTTGAATATGTGAGAAATATATTAATATCAAGGTAACTGTGAGTGAGTGAGTGAGTGAGTTTGGTTTTGCGCCGCTTTTAGCAATATTCCAGCAATATCACGGCGGGGGACACCAGAAATGGGCTTCACACATTGTACCCATGTCGGGAATCGAACCCGGGTCTCCGGCGTGACGAGCGAACGCTTTAACCACTAGGCTACCCGACCGCCCCAAGGTAACTGTGACAACTGAAGCATTATAATAACTATGACAACGTACACCATATATGGTGTTAATGATTGATCAATCTTCTCATGACACACCAGGGTCCACTTGCACAAAGCGATCTTGGCGCTAAGATGATCGTAACTCCCATACTTTAACATATAGGCTTACAATAGTTGTAGCGCTAAGATCGCTTTGTGCAAGTGGGCCCAGGTAGGTAAAACAGGACATAAACATACTGTGTTTTCATTGTAGAGTAGGTTACCTGTAGATTTAAGCATGCTAAATTGAATTTGGAACCGAATGTGCAGCATGAGGTTTCCAATGCTAAATTGAGCGCAGTTAAATCTTCAGGTAACCTAGATTTACACTGAAAACACTGTATGTTTATCTCCATTCAACCATGATTAAAAAACACCCAATTCTTTGGTGTTTGCAAATATATTGAGTGAAGAGGCATGGGTTGAAATGTATTGCCATTCATCCTTTGTATATTGTGGTAACTTTGCATGACTATACCTGCACATGAAATAATTAAAATATGCCTATTGACAATGACTGTAAAACAAGAACTATTCTAAAAATATTAGCTTCTGTGGTGATGCGGCAATCAAATCGTCTGTTTCAATCAGAGGGGGTTTATTGTGATTTGATACCTCTGATTGACCAATCAAAATCAAGTATTTTTGAAATTCATGGTAGAATACTGTTTTAATGCTTGTTGGTGGTCTAAAGGAAAGTCTCTCCTACAATTTGCCGTCCTTTTCAAAATGCTGTACATCTCTAATGTATTAAGAAAATAAAAAGACACAAAACTTATTGAATTTCTTTAAATTCTTTGAAGATGTAATCTAAATGACTACCCTAAGATTACATTTGTTACTATCTAGAAAATTAAAATCTTCTGATAACTCATTGATTCCAAGTACACTGGTGTTTGTGTAGACAAAAAATCTTAATTTTTTTTATTTTTGTAGACTTTTTGGTGTTTTGCTGAGGTGAGGTGAAGTGGAGTTTAATGTCGCTTCCAAGATTATTGCACTTATATAGCGATGTGCATGTATGTGTGTGTGGCTGCTTGTACTAGTCCACACTAATGCAGATTTTATAGTGCTATCCCACTGAGATACCATGCTGTAGTTTAACATGAATACCCCATCAGACACAATATACTGACGCTGAGCGGACCAATCATTGTTTTAGCCCAATAATGCTGAGCGCCAGGCAGAGTAACAACAAGTACCATCTTTTAATGTCTTTTGGGTAGGACGCTGCCAGGGATTGAACCCCGGACCTTCTGCTCTCCAGGTGTTTTGAGTTCTTGATAAATTCAGACATGATCAGAGTTATTTTTACCTTTGAGTTTAAATTACAACTTAACACTGTGTTGTTAATATAAAAAGAAATAAGGATGTACACGATAGTTATCAAGCTGTCTATTCATTTCACATTTATCCTTCTGGTTTATCATTACTCAATATTTCAACATATCACAAGAGTACTGTTTCACAGTAACTTAGTAGTCTGTCTTCCTGACTCAAGGAAATAATTCAAAAAAGGAATCCAGCTCAAGTCTAGAATGATCTGGCAAGTCTAGATTGCCTCGGCTCTGAAATTAAGGATTGCAATGGGCATCATTTGGAACTTAGTTTTAATTCTGTAGATATTTATTTTTAAAAAAGATCAACATATTTCTGGGACTAAGTATGAGTCTAACAGTTACTTTGCCATGAGTATAGTATAAAATACAATTTCACTGTATGTTGTAAATATAGTGTACAGTGGAATCAGTCCAACAGGATACTTACTAATCTGCATCTCTGCCAACACCAGACCATATTTACACCTTGGTTCATATTACTAGCCAATGGGAAATTGTCAATCATTAGATCAGCCTATCCAAAGTTATAATCCAAGAAAGCCCTCCAGTTGTGAAAAATGCCATTCATAACTCTCCTACATTTGTCTGCCATCTTCAGAACCACAAGAAAATGCTACCAAGAATATGTCCTGGTGTTTTCGCCCTAGGTTGTAGGGTCTGAACAAGTCTGAGTAAATAAATGAGCTAAACTAGTGAGCGAGTTGCCGAAAGAAGACAGCGTGAGGACTCCTGAAGTGAGTGAGGACACGAGGACAAGGCCGCCAGCAATACCAGACTAACAGGATCAATACCAACCAAGGAGAATAACAGTACTCCCCTCCAGCCACCACGTACAGCACACAAACAACTCAGTTCTACACCAGTGAGTCAGTGAAGACACAAGGCGATGTCTCAATCTGGTTTTGAAGAATATAGTACCCCATATTCCTAATAGCTTTTATCTATATGCATGAGGACCAAGTATGAGAAAGTACCGATTTAGAAGACATCATTAGGAGGCGTCATAATCTGGGGAATAACACTTCAGACCACTGGAGGAGGTCTCAAAACAACATAGCTCTATATGTAAAATCATCAACTCAGAGAAGAATATATTTAGAAGATGCAGAGATTGTTTATCCTGTATTGTACCAAAAAACATGACCTGCCTCCAATTACTGTCACTCTCTTAGTGGCCACAACACTTATAACACTTACAACACTTATAATTTGTTATTTTCACAAAGATATCTTTGATAGTATATAAGTGAAATGATGTCCTTTTTATTATCGCCTTCCTTGTGGTGCAATAATATGTATATAATAAAATGGAAATGTCCTGAATAAAAATAACAAGACAAAAAGTGAGCAGGACTAAAAAATACCCCTGATTTCGACTCCAACATATTCCTAAGTTCAAAACATGAATTAGCCATTTTTTCTCAGAAAATTCACTTATAGAAACTATACCCACAATTGGAAAAGAATCCATGAAGTAGTTTTCAAGTCATAGGTCGCACAAATTTTCGCATAATATTCTAAGTACACAACATGAAAATATCATATTTTTCAGAAAATACACATACATGTATCAAAATCAATCTTTTCATTGCACCTCTTCTATAGGTATAAAGAGTTTTCACCAAGTTTAGAAAGAATCTACATAGTAGTTTTAAAGTTGTAGGTCACAAAATAATGTCACTGGAAGGAAGGAATGACAGACAGAAGTTCGGGTGGACAGAATTCCTTGGTTAAACTATATACCCATCCTTTTAGGTCAGGGGTATAATAAAAGAAGTTTATTTATATTGCCCATTTTTCATACACAAATGTAATATAAGTTTTAAAAGTGATCAGGAATAATAAGCCTAAACATATTACAACGCTATATTTAACTCATTTGGCAATATATTTTCAACGTGATTACTAAACATGAATTGACAAGTCCCACACTGCACTTCCTGCATCTACGCTTGCTGCATCTACGCTTGCTGCAGCTCACTTGCTGCTGGTTCTCTCTGGTCAAGCATCCCTATTATAAATGACCATTCCATTACAACAGTGGAAACTGCTGCTTGGCATGGCCAGTGCAATTTAGTTCTATTATGCTGACCAATCCTAGCACAACATACTCATGAATTATGGTTGTGACATGTCACCATCTGGGTGAATACGGGTCTTAATAACTGGTCTCCAATACATAAATAACCATTTCTATATGACCATTATGTCCAATCTGCTACTGATTTAGGGGACATAATCTCAGTCATGGTTTGTGGAAGTCATATCTCAATGTCAGAATCTGACCGACACATGAACAGTTGCTTCTATAATTAAGTCAGAGAATTACGGGATATTAAATACCTTGCACCAATATGTCAAACTCAAACTGACATATAGTCATACTGACACTGATCTAGTTATATAATCTGACAGTCTTGTCATTTCTGAGGTCCCCACCCTCTCTCTTTCTTAAAACTGAAATTTGTCTTTGTATTTCTGCCGTCTGACACAGTCTGCTAAAGGTGTTGAACATCATGTGTTTTAGCTATTGGTGTCTCATTGGTTCAAGGAAGCAGTCTGATAAAGGTATGGGACATCATGTGTATTATCCACTTGTGTCTCATTGGTTCAAGGAAGCAGTCTGATAAAGGTATGGGACATCATGCGTATTAGCCACTTGTGTCTCATTGGTTCAAGGAAGCAGTCTGATAAAGGTATGGGACATCATGCATATTAGCCACTTGTGTCTCATTGGTTCAAGGAGGCAGTCTGTCTAAGTTCACTCACCAGTAGCTCCATGGAATGTGCGACAAAAAGATGGTGGCAGCGACTCTTGTTCCTGAAACAACAGTCTTCATGATAATTCACACATAACTTACAGTGGACTCAAAATGGACACCTTATATTCTGATGTTCTGTCAAAACCAATATAATGACTCCTTTATATTGTTGTTGTATATTAGTTCTCTTTACAAATAACTCACATATAATAACATCAAAATGTGTGTGTGTGTGTGACTGTAGTGTCTTTGATGGCATACACACAGTATATAGCCTACCTTGTGGGTTTGATGGTGATCGGGCTCTGACAACGCGGACTGTAGATGTAGCGTGTGTGAGAGAATACCTGCTCCTGGGGCTGCGAATATCCTCACTGCATTGTCAGGATCTGCAGACAGAAATAGTTTATATAAGCATGATGTCACAAGTATCCTTGTAATAGACTTGTCTTGAACACCTCAGTGACCACAATGAACATCTTCTTGTTTCGGCAGATTTCTAAAGCTCAATGCCGGAGGCTGACAATGACCTCAGTTTATTGGAAGCAAAGAAGCACATACAAAAAACATGCCATTATGTACAAATCCTCATTACAAATACAGTTTCGAAATTGATGAAATTCAGCTGAAAAGCCAGTTTTGGAAGAAAGACTAGCTATTCAGAACTAACTCCCAATACTTCCCCCATTTTGTTTCAACTGCAATTGAAAATATATTTTTTGTGTACATAATATTATCCTGTTTCAATAATGAAATTTATGATCTGATGAAACAGTCCATTTGGTGTAAAAGGAAAAGCAGTGGGGAAATTCTACGACTGGATCATCAACTCATTGATGACTGGTTTTTGTGAAAACTGTAAGTTACAATTCAACTTCATTACATTTTTCAATAGATATAATGAGAATCTCCAACAACATTCTTCCAACTTTTTCAGTTTGTAGACAGTAATAAGCAGTGTCTTAAGTGTAAAAAGTACAGCTAACAGCTTCAGTAGCAGAGCCATTAGTGATGTCATTTGATTGTGACGTCATGGTAAACAATGACCTTGAGCAATGGTCTGCAAAGCATTGTGATGCAATTTTTTGCAGGGATATCTACAATGTAGATATCGCTTGATCTCACCCAAGGATATCTCCTGTGGGAGCCAGTTTTGGATGATAAATAACATTATTGCTTCCCATTCCTGCATACATAAAGATGCACATAAGTCAAATTCATCATAACATACTGCCTTATGAAAAGTAGCTGGCTAGAAATGCAATCACCCATACACAACAGCTATCCTAATACACAAAACTGTTGGGGGCGGACATATAGACATGCCATCCTTCTAAACAATACTGTATAACCACAACTGTATTTTTTATCTCAAGTTAACACAAATACTATTTACTACTCCGAAAGCATTTAATTCCCTCAAACACTGATTCCATAACGGCAATATATAAGACAGCTACGCGATAATCCGAAAAAAACAATGAAGAATGTAGCATGGATTATTTCACGATAAAACATTGTTCTATCATGACATCATTTCTGGAGATTGGAACATGCGCTCGCAACTTGATGATGCCGTATATGGGATGACGTTATTTTTGAGAGGGGAGTGTCTAGTGAGTTGCTCCCCATAGATGTAGCTGGGCAAAGCAGATAAACTCAATGGCCGAACTATCGCATCCAAAAGCGGGAGTGATATGACAATCAGTATTGGGAGAAAAGGTAAAGGTAATCGACGTGAGGGTTGTGAGAATATGCGGGAAAAACCCACCCGTTCATACAATGGACTTGTCCGACATTGCTGGGGTCGGATTCTATTGAAAGAGTCATCATTATTTAAATATGGGTAAATATTTTAAAAACCTGTACATTTTATCATCATCCTTAAAGAGTCTGTACATAATGTTGATATCTTGGCATTTTGTCTTATAGCCAACTCTACATCCAACAGAAATAATACAGACCTCTTCAACTTGGAATATATCTCGTTACTCATGAAACAAGATCAGTGTATGACTCCATTTGTATACTTCAATATGACATTCACAACAAAATGTATAAATAGTGACATTATGACATTAAAAAAAAGTAAGTTTCTCAACAATCTTTCATCTCCATACCCCGGGGGATGCATTTCTAATGCCATGAAATTGGTAATAGCATATCATTAATTTCTCAAATAATTCAGTTATGAAAGAAAAATACCAGATCTATTATGATGTTTAGATATGAATTCATCTATTAAATATTTAGGCTAATTTGGACCTACCGATGACAATAACCATGGCAATTAATTACTGTTTACTATGATGCTAAAATATTTCAGACAACATCTCCAATTCATATTACACAAGCAACTGTCAAAGACCAAAACCTTACACAACCGGTTGTGAGGAATAAGATGACAAGTCTTAAACACCACCTGCTTCCAATCTGCTAATTAGAACAAAAGTCAGAATCACAAATGAACTAAATTAAACGGAATTGAATGAATGATTCCACTCTGAAACTTCCTCCCCCAATCAAGCTCGTCCAATTTACCCTGCACTTCCTTGACACAGGCAAACACAAGTCCATCAGGAGGGCGCCAGTATCCAGGATGTGTATCGCATCCTCTGAAGACAACACACAAATTGAGCCCTTCTTTTTCAACCACTATAACTTGTTTAAACACATTACAGTACCTTGATAAACAATCACTGACCATACTACAGCTCTTCCTTCACAAGATTCCTGCTGCCTTTCACTGACTATACCAAATAGTTGTTTATACAGTACAGACCTACACGAACTCCACAAGAATCCTGCTGCCTTTCACTGACTATACCAAATAGTTGTTTAATACAGTACACACCTTCACGAACTCCACAAGATTCCTGCTGCCTTTCACTGACTATACCAAATAGTTGTTTAATACAGTACAGTACCTTGGCGAACTCCACAAGATTCCTGCTGCCTTTCACTGACTATACCAAATAGTTGTTTACTACACTACAGTACCTTGACAAACTCCACGAGACTAGTGATCAGTGACAGCTGGCCACCTCCTAGTCAAGCAACTAATGCAATGATGAATACTGTTAATGAGTCCGCGTACAATAGGTCAGGAGTGAGTGGGGAGTATGTACAATCCTTTGTGTCTTCCGAAATCCAGACAGCCATTATATCATAATCCCTAATATCACAGAAAGTGTGTCAGATTTGTTAGGTTGTGTAACAATGCATGTAATTATGGAAGTAACGCTGACTGCCCACAAATATAATCTCATATCATGCACTTTAGCTGGTCTTTAATAATACAAATAATAAAAACCTTTGTTGCTAAAAATTTATATCAGTTTAAGTTATTTGAATTGTGGACCAGGGATAAATGCAGATTAGCAATGACAGGTAACGAAAGGTGGGACAAATAGGGCTGGGATGGGCAACTCGGTACTTGCATTGGGTGGTCTTGAGAAGAACGCAGGTACCAACAGGACTACCCGGACCTGTGGTTAGTCACAGGATATATTGTTTAATTACAAAAATTCCCTATAATTTGATGTCTTAACTACAAGTCACTACTGTTTGCATTTCTTTATGACTATGCACCCATCCCTTCTGACTTGTTTGAATAAGATAAAGCTTCAGTCAACTTCAGCGAATGCATGATCAGGCCATTTTACATGTGTATCTAAATACTTTTGCCAGGGCTAGAGTAAAACAATTCCCAATCAGACATTTTGTACCCAACTCTTTAAACCTACACCAGGTGACTGGGTTGGGGAGGGTAGTAGGTGGTCGGGTACCCGGGGAGTAAACTTGGCCTCATCCCAGCTCGAGACAAAAACCAAACTTGAAGCAGGCTGCATGTAGGCTGTCATTACAAAGCTATAGTATCAATGAAGACACAATTGATGAATGGATACATTGAAACGAAGAAAAATCCAAAAGTCAGTCTGGTCTTCAGGTTGTCATGTTTGATCAGTTTGTTGCAGACAGGCCAAGGATCATAATCGGGGAAAAGCCAGACACTAGATTCAAACCAGATTTGGGAAGTTATAGAAATCTGACAGCAAATCGATTCACCTGTACCTGTCATAGGAATATGTAGCTGTACAAAAAGAAATAAAAACATTATTTGCCCGCCTATCCAAGACCCCCCCCCCAAAAAAAATATTGACACATGTATCCAACGAGGCCAAAAGCCTCATTGGATGCATGGATCAATATAGAAAATAAAAAATTCTGTACAGCTATGTATGCCTATGGTTGGATATTGAAAAGAAAAAAAACATAAAACATGATTGCTAATGAAAAGATGACAGACTGCAACGGCCATGTTTGTAACTTTCAAACAAAACAAACACTGAATATCATTACACGTTATAGGGCTGGGATGGGTAACTCGGGTACCTGGGTCAGGTGGGTACTGAGTAGGACCCGGGTGCCCTCAGGACTACCCGGCCCCGTGACATATTGTTCAATGACTAGAACTCCATGGTCACACTACAAGTCACTAATGTTTTCATTTCTCTCTGACTGTGCACCCATTCCTTCTGACTTTTCATATGGTTGAATCAAGATATAACTTAAGTACACTTCAGTGTTTGCATGACCAGATTGTTTAATACATGTATCTACATATGTTTTGCAAGGGCTACAGTAAAATAATTCCCAATTGGACATTTTGTCCCCAACACTTTAGACTTAGACCGGGTACCCGGGTGGGTAGGGTAGTAGGGGGTCGGGTACCTGGGTAGTAAATTTGGACAAGACAAGGAAAAAATAAAAAATATATTGACCCATGTATTCTATGGGGCCACAAGCTTCATTTGATGAATGGATCAATTAAAAAAATATTGTTTTTTTATACAGCTATATATGCCTGTGGCTGAATATTGAAAAGAAAAAAACATAAAACATGACTGCTAGTGAAATGATGACAGACTGCAACGACCATATTTGTAACTTTCAAACAAAACAAACACCGAATATCATTACATGTTTCCCTATTGTCTCCATAAAGCTGCTATATCCCGTCTCCCAATACACAGCATATGGATAAGACAAAACTGCTAAAACAACCCGAACATTCAGAGAATAAAATCCATTATAAATCAGACATACAGAATGATGAGATAATTTCAAACATGTCACAAGTGTGACATATCTTACACGTACTCACCAAGATCCACAAGAACAAATTTCCCTCGCCATAAAACAAGCAGCCGCTCACCACAAAGAACACCGGCAGTATTTACAGGAACTATTACAAGACGGTGTGTGTGTGCTTGTGAGCAGGTAGGTCATGCCGTGAGGTGTTTAAAGCTATTATACTTCCCCCAACACACACTGCCCAGGCCCCTACACAGTGTGGCCTGTATCTGAGTGGAGAGCCAAAATCTGA